ATTCAGATCAGTACAGATAAACAGGTATGTTTCTTCTTATTCAGATCAGTACATATAGATCAGGTATATTTCTTCTTATTCATATCAGTACAGATAGATCAGGTATGTTTCTTCTTATTCAGATCAGTACAGATAGATCAGGTATGTTTATTCTTATTCAGATCAGTACAGATAGATCAGATATGTTTCTTCTTATTCAGATCAGTACAGATAGATCGGGTATATTTCTTCTTATTCAGATCAGTACAGGTAAAAAAGGTACATTTCTTCTTATTCAGATCAGTACAGATAAAAAAGGTATGTTTCTTCTTATTCAGATCAGTACAGATAGATCAGGTACGTTTCAGTCTTACTCGAGTAAATGAAGCCTGGATTACCGTATTAACCCGAATATAATGCACACTTTTTCTTACTCCAAATGCCTCCCGAAAATTTGACGGCGCATTATATTCGCGCACGTTCAATTTTATTAGGTATTATACTATCAATATATAGAAGCTACCACCGAATATCATTATTGCATCATTAAAGGTTTAAAACAATGATGCATGTACAATGCAATGGATAGGATGGATGATGATATGCTGTGAGAATCAGAAGAGGATGAAGCAAAGGTTCAAAGAAACAAATCCAATGAATGTGATGAATTCTATGGTAGTGACAATTCTAGCGATGATGAAGATATATGTGAAGATGAATGATTAGCTTAAGGCATTATCATGTATAAACTTTTCAATAATTTTTTTAAAAATTGACACGTAAAAAAATGTCAATGAAAGATTTACAAAAATGTTTAATACACCAATAGTTGTTTACTATATTTGGAAACTATTCAATACATTTTGTACAACTGATGTGTAAACAAATACATTTTCTTCAATTTATCCTTTCAAAATTGGGTGCGCATTATATTCTGGCAAATACGGTCTGTATGTTTATCACATTCAGGTTAATTCAGACTGAATTAAGTAAGTTTTATCCTTATTTGGTTCAGTGCAGATGGATTAGGTATGCTTACTTTTCACTCAGGTTGATGCAGATAGATCAGATACGTTTCTTTCATGATGTACTGAATTATATTTCATTTTGTTTTGAATGTTTTCTTTCAGATGAAGATCTCATAACTCCTATATTCATTCCACCCACCTCCAAACTACCTTCACCTACCACCACCCCCCAGTTGAAGGAGTGGCCTGTAGAAATGAAGCACAATGGTGAGACATTGTGTGATGATGAAGAGGATTGTAGGGAGGGCTCGGGAATAGAAGATGGGGCATTTACTAGCCCGCCCACTAGTTACCACCTACCAGGTAAAATGGAGTCTATGTCGGAAGAATCGGTAGAACGAGCTTCACCGTTTACTGTTCAACCTCTCCCCTTCTCATCCACTTATGGTCATCTGGAAACAAGAGGTGAAATCCATAGCTACGACCTTACACGTACCACACCTTCAGTTTACCAAGTGCCTATTCCAGAAGTCACCAGACAAGACCAGGATTTACAAAACCCTAAAGAAAAACCGAAAAGCTCTGCGGACAACACTGCATTAGTTATTGGAATCATTGCTGGTGTTTTAATATCTATAGTTTTTGTAGCACTGATTGTTTACAAGTTGAGAAATCGAACTGATGGCACTTACAAGATTGATGAAAGTAAGAACTACTGGTTTGCTCCGGTTTCTAACAGCCCTGCCCTTCTTGGTGGACAGCAAGGACATACCAACAGCATTCTGAAAACTGCCGAAAAAGATCGTAAGCTTCCGAAGAAGGAAAACATAAAAGAGCTGAAGGAGTGGTATGTTTAGACTTCCTTGGAGTATATAAGTAATTGATGCTTCTGTACACTTGCTCGTTCAGTATCTACTAATGTTTAATTAGGTAAATATGTGCCAAGTAGAAGATTTTCTAGAAATCACACCAGATTAAAGAAACTTCAATTTAGGATCAGTCGATGAGAATTTGTACATAATCTATCCAGAGATATAAAATATAGTGCCAAGTTAAATGCTTCTCTTCGGGGCATCACATAAGTATAAAGAGGGTACCACCTCGCCTTGTCGTGTCTATATGTCACGACATAGCGCATTTCTGTGAGTTTTTAATGTGTAGTGTGTGCTGTACCAGTATATAGTTGGCGTAGAAATTGACTAACACTGCTTTGCGTGATACATAGTAGATGGCAACCATCATGGTTAACCAACACTGTTCTGTGTCCTATGTTGTACATAAAAGCCATCAAAGTTGACCAATACTATTCTGTGTATTACACATTACGTAACAGCCATCATGTTTAACCAATACTATTCTGTGTACTATACAGTAGATAACAGTCATTGTGGTTAACCGATATTTTTCTGTGTATTATACAGTATATAACAGCCATCATGGTTAACCAACACTATTCAGTGTATTATACAGTACATAACAGCCCTTATGATTATCCAATGCTATTCAGTGTATTATACAGTACATAACAGCCCTTATGATTATCCAATGCTATTCAGTGTACTATATAGTACATAACAGCCTTCGTAGTTGACCAATACTATTCCGTGTACTATACAGTACATAACAGACATCATGGTTAACCAATATTTTCTGTGTATTATGCAGTTGACCAACACTGTGCTGTATGCTACACAGATGTAAAGCTGTCTTCAAACTTGACCGATATTGTTCAGTGTGTGCACCAGCAAATGGCTTTCATCAAAATTGACCAATACTGTCATGTGCGCTACACTAACATATAGTTGTTTTTATGACTGGTCAACACTGATGCGTGTGCTGCATCAGGATATAATTTTTATCAGAATTGACCAACACTTTTGTACTTTTTGTTTTGTACCAACACTTTTCATCATTATAAACCGGAACACTTTTCTCATGGGTGATAATAAACATAAATCATTCAGACTGGCTAAAACAGATATGGTCTTATGTTTATCAAGACCAGCTATTGAGAGTTTACGGTGTATGTAATATAAGTGCAATTCCTGGCAGAATAAGCCAAGCCTGTATTTCCGTTTCGGTGTGCTTAGAACGTCACCCTGTTTGATACCACTGCTGTTTCATCAGTCTGTAGTGCAGGAATTATTATTGTGGTCCAGATAATTTTGCACTCCTTCTCGGAGTGGACTACCCGTGTTCTAGTAACGTTTATGACCCAGTCTTCAAAGTATTATTTACTTACTTGGGGAAGTAAATTCTACAAGGCTGTAGATGAAAATCTATAATAAAATGTACCTGCGAGGTGAATAAGTTCGACAAGGTTGTAATATATGTAATGAAATATGCTATTCTGTTTCTTTTCTAGCCCAAAGAACGTCATATTAACGTAACAGTTTCAGCTTGAATTTATTACAGAAGGGACAATGTTTTGTTAAATGTGCTTGTTAGTATAGCTGTGATTATAGGAGCGGAAAACTGTACTGAAGATGTTCAATATTGTTATTGTTTCAATGTTACAAAGCACCTGTAAAAGAGGCTAGACCTTACAGTGTTTCTTTGTTGTGATATTTTCAGTCCACAGTCTCTCTGTGAAGACTGTAAATGAAAAAAACAACAACTTTACTTTCAGTGTAAGGTAATTTGTTGATTATCAACTGATTATTTAAGCTTTACATTAATTAATTCGGATATCGTTTGTTTAAATATAAGCTGTATCACTTTCAACACTTTAATCACGTAATTACTACAAATCTTATTTTTGATACAGCTGTTGGTGGGATAGATTTATTTGGTTACAAAGATTTGCCTTCAACAGTGAGACATGGCCACGTACGATATTCTAATGATAAATACATTCAAATTCCATAGAAGTCAAATCAAATTATTTTATGTAAGATATTTCCAGCTCTATGTCGTTTTTATGTAAATAATTTAATACAAATACATTCTTTTGTTTGTTGATAAGCGCAAAGCTACCTATGCTGTGCACACCGTGAATATCGAAACCAGAATTTTAGCGTGATAAGCCGTCAGACTTACCGCCCAGCCACCGAATGAAAAATAAATTAATATATGGTTGAGAAATAAAGCAAAACTAAATTTCAAGAAGGTAAAACTATTGCGTATGGGCAAAACTCCAGACGAAGAAAAATTTGGAAGTACTAAGAATCAATTAGATAAGATTACTTAATTGGATGAGGATATATATATATATATTTATACTTTGAATATTGCACGTGATCATGTCTCACTCTGAAAGACCACACGTTGTAAATAAATTATACAATCCCACCAAAACCGTTTCAAAAAGCTTTACCGTGTTCGAGGGTACGTACCTCTTTAAAATATAGTATAAATATTATTGTTTCGAGAGACTTATTATTAATCTATCAGCAAGTGAAACTCTCCTGTTTTTGTGGAATAGATTAATAAAATGAATGTTAATACGGAGAATAACTTCTTTTAGAGAGTATATCATAACAATATTAGGCATATACTGATCTGACTTTGAAGAAGTTACCTATTATACACGTAGCAAATCTATGTGTTTTTATCTTCAGTTGAGACAAGATCAATAAAAATGTAATGGGAATAAGGATCGTAAAAAAAGTACACAAACAAGTTGAATCAAAATGCAAAGATTATATTTTAAAGCCTACAACTAGGGACTCGTTGTAACCATATTAGACTGGATATAGTGTCTACGTTATTTTCTTAAGCTACATATTCCTGTTTTGGCTCCATGTCTACAGTACTTATAAATTTTAGTGATCAAAATAGCTTGAGAAAATAATGTAGACTATTTTCAGCCTAGTTTTTTTTGTTGTTGTTAGAGTCCCTAGTTGTAGGCTTGAAAATGTAATCTTCACATTTTGATTCAACTTGTTTCTATACTTTTTTTTTGACAATCCTTATTCCTCTTTTAAATTACGAATTTTTAATTATCTTGTTTCTTAAGTTTTTATGCCCATTTACGGGGAATATATTTTAAGCTACATACGTGCATATGCATTCAGTTGAATGTAGCATGTCCTTCAACAGTTTATTGCTGCATTGGCTTTTTCTCCACCCAATCATTATTTGTTGAGTAGGTAGTTTTGTGCCTGAGGTTTCGTGTAAACACGCGTTTAACAAACGTCGAGTACAAAGGAAGCCACTCACAACAACATCGCATATATTGTTTATTTATAGCCACGTCAATCAAATTTCAGTGAAAAATCATCAATTTCTTAATATGTCATAGATATTTGCAGCATTTCATATAGTACAGGTAAAGAAAAACTTTTCAAAAAGGGAAGTCAATTTAGGGATGGCTAATATCAATGCCATCCCTACTATCTTGTTTGAATTGTTTTTTAAGGATTGATATTTATCCTACATTTACTTCCTTTTTTGAAAAGTTTTTTCTTACTTGTTTGCTTGTTATTTTAAATGCAGTGATTTAATATACACAGGAAGGTTGTATTAGTAGTTATGGGGGGTTACCTCTGTGTCCAAAGGATGCCGCCTCAGTGAAGATCACTGATTGAGAGCAGATCAATGCATGTCGCCTGAGGGTTACATAACTATTACATAATATGTACACCTGAATATTATGTAACTGTTACATAATATATAGGAGAAACATATAGCTTAAGTGCCACTCACTAGAGTGTGCGGCTATGTTATAGAAGGAGGAATATCATAGTTCGATACCAGAAGGTTTATTACTATAGGCAGCTGGTGATGCCAAGGTTGAACTGTGTTTCTACACGAAGTGGTGCCAGAGAGCACGTTGCTAGGTCGCCATGACATCAGAAACGATGACGTCCACGAAGTGGATCAACGTATTTCAACATATAATCAATGGCTAGATATAATATGATCTAAATGCGATACAGTCGTTTTATATATAAAACAATTCACTAATTCATTAGTTCTATATTTAATCATACTTATTTAAATATCATGCAATAATTTAACATATATATACTTGTACTGTCACTAGTTTGACATTATGCTACCCATATAACCATGTTCTTGACAAAATATTTCATTTTTTTGTTTCTTACGATATTGGATAAGAAAATACACAGCCGATTTTGGTTTAACTTGCTGATTACAGATTAGTTTCTATATTTATGCATACCTTTTACAATTATTGCCCTGAAAATGATGTTCATTTAAATATCATGCACTTTCACTAGCTTGTCTTTATCTATATAACTATGTTATTGACAAAATATGGAATTTTACTTACGTACTTTTTACAGTGGAAGATGTTTTCATTACTAAGGATAGTGGGTGCAACTATAGCGTGCGGTCTACCGGGAATTTTACACTATAGCGTGCGGTATGATCATCATATAAACAAAACATGTAAAGATGTTGAACAATAGCAGTCTACCTGGGATATTTACACTGCTAAATAATTTATTAATGATCATTATTATGATAAAAAACAAAATTGTGCTACATAATTATTTTTAATGACATACACTTCGTACCACATCCTTAACAAATGATTTACATTTAAATCCTTTAACGATAAACACTTCGTATATCATTTACAAGTGTTACTTCAGGCAGACAATGTTCGGTAGGATACTGCTGTTTACTCTCACAAGTCAATGAAACAACTATTATAACATACATATTACTCATTATTTGAATGAGGCAATTATAATAATCAATAATTTACTTTACATACTTTGATCGTCCTGAAAAGGATGATTATTTGCTACAACTAAGTATAATAAATGAACGACTTACTGTTTATCCACACTCATACAAATGGTGTGGTCAGTGATGTCCAGGCCAATAAACTTTGAGTGTTATGAAATACAAAGGTTGTCACGTGGTCACATACATACAGATGATGTTACTAGAGTGGTGTTCTATAAACAGAAGATGATAAGCTCATTGTCTCAACGTGTTAACAATATTTATATTTAATTACATGTAAAACTATTATTGAATAAAAAGTTCTCAACACAATATTTCTTTTTAACACTTTTGTTTGCCTAAACAAGGTGAGACTTTCATTTCTATAAACCGGAAATTCCATTTCAACTAATTAGTTTTCCAAATGAACATAAAGACCTTTAATTATAAATCAAATGATTATTTAAAAATGTTTAGTAACATGAACTTACAATTACCCCGCAAGGATCGGTCCTTAGCCACAAGCTCTATAACGTTTTTGTAAACGATATACCCTTTCCCCCGTTAATATATACATTTACCTCACAATAAGCTGATGACATCAAGCAATGCTCAAACCGCAACATCCTGAGTTCTAAGTTAGGTGTCTAAATGATGTAACAAGTGGCGCGTTGTCCTTACTCACACAAAAACACAAGCTATATCTTTTCGCAAAAGAATCAACAATCCAAGAAAAAGTTTAGAAATCTAAAACTACAGCTTAATAATACAACAATCAAATTCTCTAACCACATCAAGTTCCTAGGTTTAACCTTCACCGCTACTCTAAATTTGTATAAACACTTTAGGGTAATCATAACGAGAACCAGTACTATAATTAACTATCTAAGAAATTGGGAGCAGCAATAAAGGCTGCTCCGCCAAAACTATTATCACAATTTACAGAGCTTATATCAGACCGCTTTAAGAATATGGCAACGTGATAACGTGTAACATGACAGATAAACAATATAACAGAATACAAGTACTTCAAAATAACGCAGTTAAAATAGCTCACAAACTACCAAGGTACACTCCACCTGAATACATTCACACCCTGACAGAACTCCCTCTCTTAAAAGAGCCTTTTTCAGACTTGTGTCCAAATATTATACGCGCTCAACATCAAGAAGCACAATCTCAAGACTGTGCCCAAATTGAGTCCACATCGGCTTCATGGACAAAGTACGTATCCCCCCTTAATATGATTAATAGTGTCACGATCTAAGTTGAAACCATTAGACTTATATGTGAAATAACCCAAATGTATGTATGGGCACTGAGCAGATAGTTTTTCGGCGCTTGTCCAGTGAAAGTGGTTTCTCTCCACATCAGAATTTTCCGGCTATTGGATCTATAGATCCCAGGCCCTGAGAAGAACCGCATCTTGTATGATTAAATCCTAATTATCCTTTATCGTTAAATATAAAACGCAATTTCTTATAACGTTGTAAGTATAACCGTTTCTATCATATTCCAAACATTAATCTAATTGTTATGGTCTTTCCTATATTTAATATCCTTAAACTCAAAATTCACAGTTATATTATATTAATCAAATTGGTTCAGCAGGACGTTCTGCACGCTTCATGTCTCTGCTGGTTTCTCCGATGCTGACCATTTCATTGCCTGACGTCACCACCATGTGAGTAAACAAACACACGTACGTTCCACATGCTCCAGCCTCGTCGCACCTCTACACTCTAAGCTTCTAACAAGATAAGCTCTCCTTCGTCTCGTCTGATCTTCACTGCTTTCTCTAGATGCTTTTATGGCAAAGATAGTGTTACCCTCCTAGGTTAGGAAGTAATATTAAAATCCTAGTCGATCACTCAAATAAGTATAACTACCATACCTACCAAGATGCCTACGAGTCTATTCACCAGTAGATCAAAATCTTAAATCCGCGTGTTGGGGCTGAAAAGAAAAAGCAGTTTCTGAGCGCCCCACGTTGTCTCTCAAGCCCCGAAGAGGCTTGTGAAATTTCAAACCTAAATTAGTACCAAGTTCCTTCATTCATTCTCGGGTTCATTGCCACCTATGGACTTCCATTTCTTCAGCACGATGCCAACTGTCGAGCTGAGAATGTTAAATTGTTGGGCAATAGCACGTACAGACATTTTCCCCAAATGACACCAAACTATCCTTCCGATCACCTTTATAGGTCAAACTATTTGCACATTTCGTCGTCATACCCATTTTCCTGCAATCAGAGGTGTGTCTCATGACTTTTGGTAGGATAGTGTATTTTCTTAAGAGTATGTCTAGAATTATATTCCTTAACACCCTCTGATCACAATCACCTGACAACAGTATTGGTTCCACTTGCGTATGTACCGAGACTTTGACATACAGTGCAGTTATGTACTGTGGATCTGACATAAAGTTATATACTGAGGCTCTGACATATAGTGCAGTTATATACTGGGGCTCTGACATAAAGTTGAGTTATATAATGGGACTCTGACATGCAGTGGAGTTATGTAATGGGGCTCTGACATGCAGTGGAGTTATGTAATGGGGCTCTGATAAAGAGTGAATTTATGTACGGGGACTTTGATAAACAATGAAATTATGTATTGGGGCTCTGAGAAACAGCGAAACTATCTTCTGGGGCTCTTAAAAATAGTGAAATTATGTACGTGGGACATTGACAAATAGTGGAGTTTCTGAATAAATGCTAAAGAAATGTTCTGACGAAAAGTTATCTAAGTTCATTTAAAAACATTTGTAAATTAATACAGAAAACTTATTCTAAATGCT